GCCGCACGATGGAGGTCAGCCACTCGGTCAAGGAGCGCACCATCGCCGAGAACAGCCTGGTCATCCTGCTGCAGGGCCTGCGCAGCCACGTCACCACCGTGGACCTCCGTGACGAGAGCACGGCCACAGGGCGCGTCACCAACGTGGACGCCTTCATGAACGTGAAAGGTGACCTACACAGACAGGCAGGGCACGGTGTCCCACCTGGACGAGCTCTTTGTCACCGGCAGGAATGTCCGCTACGTCCACATCCCTGATGAGGTGGACATCAGAGCCACCATCGAGCGGCAGCTGCAGGCCATCCACAGGGTCCGATACTTCGGGGGCCGCGACAAGGGCAGGAAGGAGTTCCCTCGCACCAAGCACAAGTGAGGGCCGGGCCATACCCGCAGCTGGGCCAGGATGGACCTGCCCCTTTCACCGGACTGTCAGCCACCGCCGCACCTCCCCCTGGACACCCTGCCCAGGGACTCGAGGCTCTGCTGCTCCCCTGCGGGACAGCAGGGTTGGTTTGTTCAGTTAATAACCCCACTTAAAGGCTCTGTGATCTCTCAGCTGGTTTCCTGTTCCATTGGCAGATACTCATGTCCCTTTTCTGATGGCCAAAGCAAGATCTTTTGGCCAAAGCTGTGGCCAGCAGTTGTTTGCCTGCAGCCTCCCACAGCTTAGCCTTCTCCTGCTCACAGTCCTGGAGCCTGCTGCTGCCAGCATCGCTGCGTGCAGGAGCCGGAGATGCTGGTCCTGAGCTGAGGAGGGGGCTGGTCACTGTCCTGTCACCTTCCTGCTAGACAGCCACCATTCTTGTTTAATGGGAAGAGAGTGAGATAAATATCTGTCCAGAGCAGAGCGGGACAGAGCGTGGGGAAGGGGCAGCACTGCCTGCCTGGAAAAGCACGAAGATGCTTCCCCAGGACACGGGGAATGCTGCTGTGTCCGGCTCCCCCATTTCCCCGCTCCTCCGTCACCCTTCCCAAAGCTCTGCAGCGTTACTTCAGCCCACTGCGCGTCTGCCGAACGTGCTGCACAGTCAACAGATGACTTCATCCTGTTTCCACAGGGATCCCTTTGTTCCCTGGTGCTGTCTGACTTCCTGTGAGCCAGAGCTTGATGGCTGAGCTCTGGTGCATGCGATTTGCACAGCTCCAGGCCTGGACGCCCGGCTGGAGCGGTCAGCAGCTGTGGGACAGCCGCGCTGCTGCGTCGCTCTCCCCTGAGGAGCCGCGCAGGTGGAAAGGGGTGATTTTTAGGAGCTCGCGTGTGAGAAGCCGCGTGTGCTGAGGGACTGTGTGCCCTCTCAGGGTGGGCGCTGTTGAGGTTGCCGGGGCAGGAGGGTTTGGAGATCCC